GTAACCACAAACCGCACAGTTCCGGTATTTTGAATACAGCATTCGTAAATTGAAAATAGAAGGGTACAGAATGTGCAGTATTTTCTAGCGCATTGTTCTGTGTCCATAAAAAATGTTTTAAAAAGAAAGTTCTACATTCCTCTCATTAGAAACAGAAATTGTATTATTCTGTCATTTACAATGAATGATAAAAAGTAACCACTTGGGTATCTCGTCTGTCTCATTCACCTCTGCTAAGACATGGGGTGACCCAACAGCTCTGGTTACTTTCTATTTAAGATACAAATTAGGTACCGAGGAACTGTTCACTGCCTGTCGTGGGTGTCCCCCCAAAAGGTAGGTGGCAGTCTTAACCTCCAGTACGTGTGAAGGTGACCTTAGGTGGAAATAGGGATTTTGGAGAATTATCCAGTTACGATACGATGTAGTCATCAGAGAAGGTCTTCATTCAACAAGGAGCCAGCCTTGTGCAGACTCACCCAGAAGAACACCCTGTGAAGGTGGACCCAGGGCATGGCGTGGTCCTTCAAGCCGAGGGACATGGAGGACTGCTGGCCTCAGCACAGGCCGGAGGGACACTCAGACCAGCTTCTCCTCTGAAGGAACAGGTGCTACTGATACTAATCCCAGACTTCTGGCCTCCAGACTGCCAGAGAATAAATTTCTGATGTTTGAAGCCACCCAGTGGGAGGTACCACGTTGTAGCAGCCCCAGGAAACAAACCCACCAGCTTCGTGAAAACTGTCCACAAATGGACTCTGTGTAATATTACACATGAAATTTAACAAAAACACTTTATCTGACAGCTGTTATAAGTATGAAAAATATTATCGCATGAAAGATAATAGGTGTTATGGGGGAAGCTAGATTACTTTGATGGAAAAAGAAAAAGATTTAGCATGCAGAAGTTTGTCCACCTTCTGAGGGACTAGAAGAGATGGTTTTATCCAGGAGTGGGCAAGCTATGGCCAGGAGGCTAAAACCAGCCCACGTCTGTCGTCGGGCAATCCCTGTGCTAAGAATAGTTTCTACGTTCTTTGCTTCTGCTTCTCTTTCTTTTTTTTCCTCTTTTCTTCTCCTCTCCTCTCCTCTCCCCTCCCCTCCCCTTCGCTCCTCTCCTCTCCTCCTCTCCTCTCCTCTCCTCTCCCCTTCTCTCCTCTTCTCTCCTCTCCTCTGCCCTCCCCTCCCCTGCCCTCCCCTCCCCTCCTCACCTCTCCTCTCCCCTCCCCTCCCCTCCCCTCCCTTCTCCTCTCCACTCCCCTGTCCTCCCCTCTCCTCCCCTCCCCTCCCCTCCCCTCCTCTCCTCTCCTCTCCTCTCTCCTTCTCTCCCTCCCCTCCTATCCCCTACCCTCCCCTCCTTTCCTCTCCCTTCCTTTTCTCTCCCCTCCTCTCCTCTCCCCTCCCTCCTTTCCTCTCCTCTCCTCTCCCCTCCCCTCCTATCCCCTCCTCTCTCCTCCTCTCCTCTCCCCTCCTCTCCCCTCCCCTCCACTCCTCTCCTCTCCTCTCCTCTCCTCTCCCCTCCGCTCCTCTCTTTTCCTCTCCTGTCCTCTCCTCTCCTCTCCCCTCCTCTCCTCTCCTCTCCCCTCCCCTCCCCTCCCCTCCCCTCCCTTCCTCTCTTCTTCTGTCCTCCTCTCCTCTCCCCTTCCCTCCTCTCCTCTTCTCTCCTCTCCCCTCCTCTCCCCTCCCCTCCTTTCCTCTCCTCCTCTCCTCTCCTCTCCTCTCCTCTCCCCTCCCCTCCCCTCCTCTCCTCTCCTCTCCTCTCTTCTCCTATCCTCCTCTCCTCTCCTCTCCTCTCCTCTCCTCTCCTCTCCTCTCCTGTGTACTAGAGAACCAAATCTCAGGTCTTTGCACTAACCTCCATCTGGAGCCTTCATTTTTTAAAAAATTTTAAGACAGGAAGTCATTATGTCACGAAGCTGTCCAGGCTGTGTTCAAATTTGTGATCATTCTGTCTCATCTCTCCAGACTATAGTTTCTAGATTTTGTGGGTTCTTGAATGTGGCCCAGCTCTCTTTTCTTGCCATCCTGAGTATATCTCTAGAGAATAAGCTGAAGAACTCACTAGATGAAAGAATTCTAGATCCCCAGAAGTCTGGACTGGTCCCTGCATTTTCAACTTACATTTTACTGTTATACTAGAAGTAGATATTAATTGTGTTCCATCATTGAGATGTTTAATATAAGCACATGAGAGTTTTGTCTTATGATATTCATCTATTGTTACTATTATCCTAACCAACAAGGTACTATTTCTTTATCTAAAATGAATCCTAACTCTTTATTGTTTTGAATTCCAATTCTTACTCTAAATTACACCAGAAAAATATACAATGGTATGACTACATTTGGCCCACAAAATGCCAAATGCTATCTGATTTTTTATCAGTACTGGGGATTAAACTCATGATCGCCTGCTTGCAAGGCAGGTGCTTATGCCACTGAGCTAAATCCCCAGCCCTGCTATCTGATTATTTACAGAAAAAATTTGGCAGCTCTTGGTCTGGTTCAGTGATTGATTAATTGATTTGGTGTTGCTGGAACCAGAGAGCCCGCAGTCTCATGCACCCTAGGCACAGACTCTACTGCTGAGGTGCGTGTGTGTGTGTGTGTGTGTGTGTGTGTGTGTATTTCAGATGAGGAAAACAGAGCTGCTCTTTTGATGAGGAAGTACTTGCAGTTTTAAATCTCATACTCAACCCACCTAGTAGCCCCTGACCTGATAACTGCTACCTGATAATCACTCTGATGATATTGGAAACAATTGAATATAGTGTGTCACAGTAGCGCTAAATATGTAATATTTACTCATCAATTCACTTCAACAGAATCCGACTTTACACACAAGGGAACTGGGGCTCAGCACCGTACAATAAATTCACGCTTCTGAAAAAGGGCAAAACCAGCACTCATTTTGCTGTCCCTCTGCTTTCTACACCCCTAACTCTGCCACATACGAAACTGTACCAGGCAGTCTTACCTAGAATCGCCCCCTCACTGCAAAGCCGGAGGTCCAGGAGGCTGAAGGAATGTGTCAGGGTCACTGACTAGTTTGCCAGTGGCTGTTTCTGGAGTTCTGGTCTCCTGGCGTCTGATGTAATAGTCTTCCACTGCCACATTCATCCTGACTGATTGTGGGTTGAGAGGACCCTGAGCGGGCTGGTTCCAGAATAAGGGGCAGAGATTAGGGTTAAGGACCTTACATTCTCATTCTCTGGTTCATCAGTTGGGGAGACTGGACAATTACATTCACGCAGACTAGGGGCTGGAGGCCCCCTGTGTCTTCTTCAGTGTCCCCTGTCTCTCCCAGGAAGTACTCTGCTCTGCAAACACCCTGGCTGGCCTCATCTCTCAGGAGAGGTCCTGTTCATGCTGTCTTCTCCAGCAATGGTTAGCGATGGTCACTCAGGCTCGCCTTACTCTCTCTTGGCCCAGACCTCCCTAACCTTGGCTTTTATCCTTCCTGTCTTGTACCCTGGACTGTAAGTGTGGATCTGTCTTCAGATTCAGTCTGTAACTTTTCAAGAATCGGCTTGTTCCTGTAAGCATCTCAGAGCTACCTTGACTTACACTGGCTAATTCCCTTTAACCCACCTTCAGGATTGTTCTATCAGATTTGATCAGAAGTTTTCATTTATAGGAAATTAAGCCTAGCCTCATAGTGGAACCAGCCGCTTTTTCTTTCACTATGAAATACTAGCTGTGAGATGTTCATATTCTTCTTTATTCATGATACACTATGACAACCATATCAACAGTGGCTTTAGATCAATAGATGGAATGGCTTCAAGTGTTTACTAGTGGTGATGATAATTGTGTAATTCCACTGAGCACTTTATAAACATATGACCTTGTGAGATACATACAATTATAATTCCCATTTTACAGATGGGGAAACTGAGGCACAAAAAGTTAAACAACTTGAAAGATACAGATCCAAGAAGCATGGAGCTTGATCTTAAATTTTTATATAAAGATAGTAGTCATCTCTGAAGGCTTCCAGGCATGTGCCAAGCCTTCTTACATTTCTGTATGTATTGACAAATTCTTTTTTTTTTTTTTTTTGTCTTTTTCATTTTTATCGGTACCGGGGACCGAACTCACGACCGCCTGCCTGCAAGGCAGGTGCTTATGCCGCTGAGCTAAATCCCCAGCCCCGACAAATTCTTTTGTGATATGTACCCCTATGTTGTCTCTGGTATTTCCTGTGTTTTCCTCCATTAAGCAACTAGGTCTTCTGTAAAGCTTCGGGGAAGGGGAAACCATCAAAATGAAGATAGCAAAGAAGATGTATTTGTTAGGTTTGAGGACCAAATATCAGGTTCTGATCATAAATCAAAGATTTCAAAGATCAAATGAAAAGGTAGCAAACTTTTCTCTAAACCAGACTAGAATCTTCAAATCTGAGAAGGAAAAGAAACTAAAAACCTGGTGTGATGATGGAGACTTTGGGAAGGAATCTAGAAATTCTTCAGTTTTCTCTGTAGCCCAACCTTGGGTGGGACCACCAGAGCTTCCAGACAGAGTTGAAGTTGTGAAATCAGGGTAGGTCCTGTGTCTTCCCTGGGGCTTAGATGAGGACACCCTGATTTGACTGAGATTACACCTTCATAGCCAAATCAGAGCTCAACATAAAAATGAGGTAAAGTTGTAAAAAAAAATAAAGAAAGCTGCATTTCCTACATAGCCGAGTTTGTGACCTAAGCGTACCCACACATTCACTATTCACTATCTCTACTTTGTGGGGCGCTCAGGAGTCATTTTTACATTTTCTCCACATTGTAGCATTTTATTACAGAGAGGACAAATTACTTTGCCCAGGAAATGCAGCTCATAAGTAGAAGAAAAAGTGCCTGAAGAGACAAATAGAAAATAAACAGTCAAGGGGAAGAAATAGCAAGAAATAATTCTATAACGCAAAGCCCTTGAATGATAATTATCCTTATAAAGAACATTACTCTTTATCAGCAATACAAGTGAGCATTTTGTCAGGATATACTTACAGTTTACTCGGTGGTATAGTCATTTCCTGGGTCCCCTTTTCCGAAGCTCTAGCTTAGGATCTGACATTGTGCAAACGTAGCCAACCTCCACGAAGGAGTTATTCAAATGTTTTACTGCTGGGTAAAAAAGCCACATGTGAATCAGAGTTCTATCATGGAAATTATGCTTTGTGACAAATATGTTATGAATGGTTGCTCATAAAGCCATGACAGTATATATGCTATCACAGCGTTCAATTATTTTAACCTGCTGTGAACTTGCTTGTGATAAATCATGGGAAAACTAAAGCAAACTATCTTTAGTCCCTGAACCGTTTCACTGGCTCGACTCATTCACGGGTCTAAAAATACAATTTATATCATCGGATTCCTGAAATTCTTTCAGTGCTTACATTCTGATCTAAGTGGCATGAAAGCCAGGGCGATTAGGCTGAGGAGTCCAAGGCTACTGACCAATGTCCCTCTGAGTATTAGCTGTCCATCAGATGGAGGACATTGTTTATAAGACTCACAGCACTGGTGCAATTAGAATGTGACTGATGGACTGGGAAAGGGTTGAGATTCTCAGCCTGAAAGGGATCTTTCGGTGACAGCTGAACACGTTTGGTTTCAGTGATGGCAGGACACGTTTGGTAGCCCTAATGTAGGGTAAGGTAGACACACAATTTAGTGTTCAACATTTTGGAAATTGATAATGGAACCATCCATATGTATGCAACTCGGCTGTTTTATAGATAGGGACTCTAATCATGGACTACTGGTGAGGAATAGCATTGAATATTTGTCACATTTAAGGGTCACATCCTGGCTCCTTTCTCCATGAACCATCTAGAGGAGGAAGTGGAGCCCTGGGTTACAATAACAGTCTCCCGTCACCTAACAGGATTATTTGCATTTCTAGAGACACAACTAAGGTGCTGGTGCTAATACAGTTTGCATCTTGTCTATTTGTGAATATATTAGACAAGGCGAAAACTGAGTTAGTTTCCAGCGTTTTGCATTTGGAAATCAAGGTGTTAAGGTATTGGGGACCTGAAGTTACAAAGTTGCAGAATGCCTGGGTGAACACCCCTTCTTGGGAAAAAATAAAGTACTGTGAATGGATTATTGTGGGCAGTAACTTCTCCAGGTTCGGTGCCCTCTACCAGTAAAATGATACAGTTACTTTCAATCTGAGATTCTCAATCCAAGGGAATGAATCAGAATCACCTTGAGAACATTCAGATATCCTTTTCCAAGTGAAGAAATTTTATTTAATTAATCTGGTGTAGTGTCTAGGCTGAGAAATATTTAATTATTAGATTTTTGGGGTCTCAGTAGCTTTTATGTGATGGTCTTTTTGGAAAATGGAAAAGGAGATATAAATCACCATTGGTACTGGCCTTCACAGCTGATACAATATTCTTTAGGATTTCTCAAGGATATTTGCTGGCTGGAGGATAACTCAGTAGTAAAATACATTCCTTTTTAGGAGTACAGAATATATAGGCCAAAGTAAAGAAAGGGGTTTATTATGTTTTCAGCATGCATTTGCATAGCTTTTGGCCTCAATAATATAATGCAAAACACACACACACACACACACACACACACACACACACACACATACATTCACACACACTTGACTATATAAAGCTTTTCATGGAATTATAGTTTGATGTCCTGCATTGATCAGGATTTTGAAGTGGAATTGGGTCTTTTCTGATCAAACATTTATTCTGCCTTTGCTTACACTTCCCACATAATGTTTGGGAAACGTCCTGTGGCCTAAGTGACTCGTGAAACAATGATAGTTGTAAAAATAATATTAATAAAAAAATCATCCTCACCAGCTGAGCTCCAGGAATTTCTGGATTTGATTACCAGCCTTCCAATGCTTGATGATTTGACTGGTATTTAATGCTCTCTCATTTCTCCTGATAGGGACCGCTAAGCACGTTGTGTTCTCTCTCCCAGTTGGCAAGTCAACAAAGGCCAGCAATAAAAACCTCCACTTGTGTAATAAACTGTTGTACAATCTACTGCTTATGAACAAGGTCCCTGAAAATGTGCAACCTTTCTGCACATTAAACACAAAACAGATGGAGGTTTGAAAATAACTTTCTTCTTCAGGGGAGAGGAAAGTCAAAGAAAGAAAAGCAAAACTCACAGAGTCCTAACTCACTAAAGCAGAGGCTGGGTGCCCGTTTCAGGTTGTAAGGGACAGCTGCATTCTTTCAAGGAGGAGCCCTGTGGCGGCCTGTGAAGCAGGAGATGGTGTGTGCACAGTAACGGAAAGTCAAGTCTGCCCAGCTGCTGCTTGCTGCCCAGGTGGACCAGGCAAGTCACTAATCCCATTGAGTCTTGTTTTTAAATCTCTTAAAATGGTGATAACTTGGAGTCCCATTGGCCAAGTACTCCAAAGAATGGAGTTACTAGCGATATAAATATTCCCATTTGGGAGTGATCGTTGTTTTCCAGTCACTTCTGTTTATTTGTTGGTTTTCTATATGTTTAGAGAAACAAAAGCAAATATATGTAATTCCTGGAACATGAAAAATGATGGGCAAAAATTTCAAAATGATATGTGCTCACATATACGCATGTATGCACTAATCTGTTTTCTTTTGGTCTGGCATTTTGGGAATATACATTTGTTACCTATGATGCTACTTCCAATAGTATATAATCTTATTAATGAAAGTCACCAAGGGTGGGCTATTAAATGAAATTAAACTCTATTTCAAAATCATGCAATAAGCATTTTACATTCACACCCTTTCCTGTGAAAAAGGCCAGTGCGATCATCCTGTGGTGTAGTGTGGGGTCCCACAGGAGACACTGAGTATTTGTAAAATGTAACAATATTCACAAAATGTATTCCTCAAAATAAGAATCGTGTGAAGTGCTTCCTGAACTACCTTCTAAAAGAATAAGATGTCCCGAGATTGGGGAGAACCAGTTTTTATTAGGCAGGATAAATCTGGAACACAGAAAACCCACAGAAATTTCAGATGGGTAAGATTGAATGTAGGAATTAGAGACTCGAGTGTTAAAAGACCGAGGGACGGATGCTGAGGAAAAGGTGATAATACCTTTGGAGAAGGACTTAGAACACAGAAGGCTCCAGAAATGATAGGATAGACCCAAGCCATGTCCAAAAAAAGGGACTCTTCTCTAGCGCCCCCTATTGGCAGGTTCTGCGAAGTGGGCTGGTGAAGATGGGCTGCAGGAGGAGGAGTTTGGAGCTGAGAGGCCCAAGGAAAATGATTGCCAGCTGGAGTCTTGTATGAGACTCCTTTGCAGAGTAGAATAGTGGGCAAAACCCGTGCAAAAATGTCAGAGATAAGAGGAACAAAAAGAACTGGTCTTTGTGACCAGCTCCTTCCAGAAGTGAAAAAGAGCAGACAAAAACTCAGACTGCATGTTACAGAAAAGACCACATCGATGTCCAGAGACCTCCTTCAGATGGACTCGTAATGAATGTTCAGTTACCGTGAGAAAAGCAGCAAACATAGCAGTGTTACTAAGAGGTATTGATTTATCTATAACTCAGGTTATAGAGCTAATAATCCCAAGGTTTTTCTCTGTTGTACTTAGCTGCCAGTCTGTGCACTGGCTATTTTTCCAAAGTCTATTAATCTGTTTAATTCCCTATAGTCCAGTGGGAGTAAAACATACCATTTTAAATGCGTCTTTATTTTACAGATAGGGTATGCTCATGTTAAGTAAGTGACAAGGTCGTCTCTTAATCAGCTGCAAAGCTGAGAGTTGCCCTTGTATCTCCTGACTTCTAGCCCACTGATCTTCTGTCATGACATTAAAAGTGAAGCATTTTTTTTTTCCTTTAAATCATGACTCTGGCAATGTTTCCAAACATGAAGATAAATCATGCATATTATATTACAGTATTAAACTTGTTTTCTGAAGCTTTGATTTTAGTAGTTTCAATTCCCCACTGTCAACCAACTCCAAACATATTAAGTGAAAAATTCCAGAAAGAAGCAATTCATAAAAACTAAACTATATGCCCTCCTGAATAGTATGAAACTTTACGCCATATCATTCCTCTCTATGCAGAACTTGACTCACACCTTTGTTCAGTGTATCCATGCTGTATATGGTACCCCCCGGTTAGTCATTTGGTTGCTGTCCTGGTTATCAGATGGGCTGTTGCAATTTCACTGTTCTATGTTCAAGTCACACTTTTTGAGCAAGAGCGAGACATATAATATTCACATAACTTTTATTACAGTACATTAGTATGATTTTTCTATTTTATTATTTCTTATTTCTTCCTGTGCCTAATAAAAATGCAGTGTTTATAGGGATTGATACTATTTGAGGTTTCAGATATCCACTGAAGGCCTTGGAACAACATATCCCCTGTGAATAAAAGTGGATTACTGGACTGAGTTTAGCTGAGAGAGCTCTCTTATGTCCAGTCCCTGAACAAGTGTCCATGTACCACTCAGTCACCTTCATTTGCAGACTCTGTTGCTGCTACAGAGAATGCCTGTCTTTCTCTGTGGCAAATGATCGAGTTGGGCTTTAAGTGAGATGTATGATATAAAACCAGCAAGTGAACAAAAATCCCACATAGACAAAATTTGTCTCTGCAAAAGCTGTTATACCTTCCATAAAATACTGATATATCCTCATGCAGGAAGATTAACACTGTTGTTTCTTCCAGGATTGCAAATGATCTTGGTTACTTTTATTGAATCCTTAATGAGATGTGCTGGCCTGCACTTGGTGCACATGGTGGGCAAAATGCTTGCATTTTTAAATGCTGACATAATTCTCAGAATATTATACGCTTACACTGAGAGTCACAGACAGCCACTGAGACCCAGAAAGATAGCAGTTTGTGGCAGCCATTCTCGGAGCACCACAACAAGCTGGCTCTGTGTTATGAACATACTCATTCTGTCTGTCTGTCTGTCTGTCTCTCTCTCTCTCTCTCTCTCTCCCTTTGCTTATCAGAAGATTAATAACTTACCAGTGCTCCCCAAACTGTCAAGGTCATACAAAAACAGAACACAAGACTGAAAATGTTCAAAGATAAGGAAAGAGTCAGAAGACACCATGACTAAATGTTATATGGTATCCCAGCGCCAAAAAAAAATGCATTAGTAGGAGAAACCAAAAATCAAGCAACCAAGCAAACAAAATAAAGTCAAATCCCACCAGTGAAACCTGCACACACCTGAAATTTGCCTCGTGATAATGAACTTATATAGGTTTCTTACTTGTGACACACATGCTGAGGCTAATGGAAGACATTTAACTGTGAAGAAAATCAGGTGAGGTGTGTAAAGAAACTCTGTACCCTTTCCAAGACTTCTGTAAATCAATAGTCTGTCTAAGTAAAATCCAAATATTAAAATACTGTTTACAAAATATTCCTCAATGTGAAAGAGATGAATTTAATTGCAGATGTGCCAAATTTCTACCTGTAGAATTATAAAACCTTGAGAGACATCAAATATAATCTAGATAACTAGATAGTGGTGACCATGGGTTAGTAGAATCAATACTATCTTAAATTCTTCCAAACCTAATGAATAAATCCAAGCAAGATTTTGTTTAGAAACTAACAATCCTGAAGCATTTGTGAACATTCCAAGTGTCCCTAAAATGCAGAACAAAGAGAATTCCTGGAGCATTTATCCACTTCAAGACCTATTTTTCTTTTTCTGGTGGCACTGAGGATTGAATCCAGAAACTCACAAAATCACTTTCCTAGTAACGAAACAACGTTTGTGGTGCTTACTCTTAGACCAAACTTTCGAGTCTTTAGTCTTCACAAGCTTTATTTCAAAATATCACAAGCTAGAATCTCTTCCTACAGAAATAAAGCTTCATGACTCTATGACGTTATGGGTCTGCACTTACCTTGTGTTTAGACAGCTTGATTGCAACTTCTAAATACAAAAACTTCCATATTTGAAGTTTTCCCTTGAGTATACTGTTCAGGATGAATCCAACATTCGATTCCGACGTACAAGCATGGGACTTTGCATAACAGCCCTTAAATGATGATACAAATCCCGCTAGCCTGACTATAAATATGCCAGATGATCTCCACAATTTTAAAGGAAGTGCTGATACCAATTTTCTAATTTTGTCTTACCCTTTAAAAATACTCTAAGACTGTCTTGTCACTGTTAACTCCATTTTGAGACTTTAGGTAATGCCTTCGTTAAAGGGTTTTGGGCAGAGGAAATCCTCAGTTTTGATTCAGAAGACTTAACTCTGCTCCTGGTTCTTCTACTTAGGGGCTGGTAGATGTGGGCAAGCCATTCAGACTCTCAGCTTCCTATCACATCCTTCCCGCAGAAGAACTTGCTTACACATCTCATAGAATTATTATGAGTATAGGGTCAGATAATGTATGTAAACACATATTCACACTATTAAAAGGTCTGCTCAAGAACAGTTCAATAAATTCCACAGCCAGTTTACATGGGTGAATAAACACTCTTCGTCACAGCCTGATAAAACGTCCTGGTGGCACACTTGAGTTCTAAAAATACCTGAGGCAGGGCATGTCAACGTGTTCCTGCAGGGGGAGAGATAGCCCTTGGCATTACCCTGTTTGTACAGTACTGTACTGGAAGGATTGGGGTAGGGGCAGAGCTGACTGTCTAGCTTTGCTCTTTCTTAACATTCTTGCTTTAAAAATGGGTTGGTTTTCAGTTGCTGCATATCCTGAGTTTAGTGGCTCAGAACAGAGCGCATTTATTTCAGTGTGGGAATCCAGACACAGCCTCACTGAGGACTGTCTTCAGAGTTACAAGGCTACGTCAAAAGGCCAGCCAGGCTGAATTTTCATTCACTGCCACAAGTGGAAAAGAATCTACCTCCAAGGTTATTTGGAATTCTGGTAGAATTAATCTCTCGTGGTTGTATGACTGCGCACTGTGAAATTTTGATAGTTCTTGACGGAAAGTTGCTGGAGGTCTTAGAAGCTAAAGAAATCCCAACCACAGTTTCTTACCAATAAGAGTTCTCCAATGTGGCTTCTTCATAATCAGGCCTCCAAAGAGAGGCGCTGCTTTAAATCTGCTCAGAAGTGAGTCTTATATAAAAGCTTGTAATCAAATGAACATGACATCCTGTTGCCTTTGTCCCTATTACTACCTAATGATGGTAGTGACATCATTACTGTCATGGCGATTAGAAGCAAGTCACAGGTATTTCCTACACTTGAAGGAGAAAAGATTGCTGAAGAGCACGGACACCAGAAGACAGGGATGACACGATTGCTCTGCAGTCCATCCACCAAAGCAGCATCTGTAGTTTAGCAAGAGAACCAGGATTTGGGATAAGTTGGTGGGGGGCAAGGAAGGGGAGTATATATGGACACTGGAAAAAGGTCAGCAAATGCACCCTTTCCCTTCCAGCTCCTAGATATGAATATTGAAATGAAAAATGGTCTAGCATTCCTGTCCACTTGCAATATTAGATATCGGGCATCTATGTCTGCATGAGGTATATGGCAATGATATTCCGCCACCTGCTCAGGTACAGGAAAAGAGGTTCTAACAAAATCTGTTCAGTATTACACAATAGCACCTCCCAAAAGACGTACTAAGCAGAAACTATCAGGATCCACCTGGAATGATGATCAGCCCTGGGTTGTTTGCTTACTCAAGTTTGTTCCTGCTTAACTTTATTCTTTGGTGTTTTACTTTCTCTATAGTTTTAGTTCTGACTCACAGGTTCCTTTCTTCAACCTTTTTTGGCAATTTCAAAGACTTTTTGAGAATGTTATTCAGTCTCTTGGAGACATACGACTGGATAATTCACCTTTGCAACAATAGACCCTTATTAGAGACCTATGCCACTTGTCAGCCTTTCCAATACAGTGAATCCAAATACACCCAGCTCATAGTAGCTGGATCTTGGAGTGGGACTAAAAGATTTAAATCTGAGGTTCAAAGCTTGTTCAAGTTGCTGTAGCTTCTTTTGCAAGGATTTAGAAAGGGAAGACCATGTGGAAATGCAGCAGTGGTCTCTTCCAGCAAAGGAAAAAGCCAATCATACCTAGTAAGGGTATTATGATCTAAGACTGCAGTAAAATGTAATGAGAATTCTCAAGCTAATGCAGAGAGCACAAAATGCAATATTTAGATCTAGAAACGATATTTACAAATTTTAAATTCCATATAACAAGTGATAAAAAACTCTCATTATACCTAGCACCTTGCATTTTAATGACCCAGAACTTGGAAATTCTTGCAAAGGACATCAAAATTATTGCAACTCATGAATAAAAATAGAAAAAAGTTAGAAGATGGATGTTACATACCTAATATATAAATAATAAATATTTTGGAGGAAAAATTAAATCAGAAAAAGTCATAACTAAAGAAATGCTAGGAATATTAACTTTGCACCTGTGATATACTTGGCTACATACGTTATGGGGTACTCTCTCCATTCACATACACAATTACATACTTCATAAAAATACTAGCACGAGTTGAAACAACCTTCCAGGTTATTTGTTGTGTCACAAGGAATAAAGAGGCCAGGAAAAAAGTGAAACAGTTCCCAACTGGTGAAAAGTAGGGAGCAGGGCAGTGAGTACCTTGAAGAATGTGATTTCTAAATGTAGCTGCCCAGAGCAACACTGCTGTTGATGTGGTGGTCCAGGTTAATTAAATCTGGCCACTAGCAGAAGCTAAAGTAAACGGTCTTTAGAGTTTCTTCAATCAAGGCCATCACTGCTGTCTCTGAGACAAGATATCTAACAATTTAAATTTACAAATTTTAAATTTACTCAGTGGGCTCCAGGTCAGGAAGGGAAGGGTGGAAGGGTCCCTGGAGGAAAGCTCTTCCGGGTCAGGAATCAAGAGCCAATAGAGGAGCTGGGAGGGAGATATATACTTCCGGGTCATGCCTCCTGGGACCACCTTTCCTGAGCAGGGTCCACCCCCTTTGCTCTGGACATCAGTGAATCAGTCCCCCGACGAGGCTGGTGCTGCTATCATCCAATAACTTTCCGTACATATGAGGATTTGGGGGGACATTTTAGATCTAAACCAAAACAAAGACCCAAACAACTTCCAGGATTTAAGATTAAACAATAATCTTACAACCAAAGACCAAAGTAATTAAGCATACAAGTCAAAATACTATGATATTATTACAAACAGGAGTGTAAAAACAAAAGCAGTTGTAAACAAACAAACAAGAACATTTACAAACACAGTTGTAAACCACAACTAGGAATGAGCTTGCAGATTTGAAGGGAAAAAGTAAGACTTTCAAGAAATGAAAAGTTTTATTGACATTTTTAAAATTCGAATTTGTATTAAATAGATTAAAATGACTGAAAAAGATACAGCAGAGAAACAAAGATAAGTGATATGTCACAGATATTAAGGAATATGAAAAACAGAGTAAGAAAATCTAGTATACATATTACTGGACATCCCACAGAAAAGATTAGAGAATGAAAAATCACAGATAAATCCAACATGAGTTTTAGATCTAAATGTAAAAACAACATCAAAAATACTTCTCAGTTTCTAGAAAACAACAGAGAAAGACATATTCATGACCACGTGACAAAAGTTTTCATAAATAAGATACAGACTGCACTAAGAATAATGGAAAACTATGATAAATTTTCCTGTTTTAAAATTAAGAATTTGCCAGATATGGTGGCACACACTTATAATTCCAGAGCTCAGGAGGCTGAGGCAGAAGGATCATCCGGAGTTCAAAGCCAGTCCGGGTTACATAAACAAGTTCAAGGCCAGTCTGTACAACATGGTGAGACCCTGTCTCAAATAAATTAAAGATACATACATACATAAAATTAAGAGTTCTCATCATATGTGGATACTGGAATTTTAAAAGTGCCCCACCTTCGAAATTTAATAGCTTAATCTCAGAATTTTTCAATGTAATAACACCCCTGTGCCCTGCATTATGGTGAATGGCTTGATTCATTGTTGAAAGAGAGAGCCTAATATGATCAGATGTGCCTTATAAGGCAAAGAATCATCTTTACTTGTCAGCAAAAAAGGGATGGCAGAAAAACTCAAAGAGGTTTAAAGAGTGAGGACTGCATGCAGCCCCGGATGCCTGTGATTTTGATGAGGACTCTCAAAAGAAACAGATGCAAAAGATGACAATAGGGAAAAAGGAACCTCACATCTACCACCCCAAATAAGTAGACTCAATCAACAGTGTGATTGAGCAGGGTGCTTGTCAGCTTTCTAGCACTGTAGCAAAATATCTCAGCAAGTTAACTTACAAAGATAAAAGGTTTATTTTCATTCACAGTTGCAGAGTTCGATCCATGGTCAGGCACAGCTATTGCAATTAGGACTCTGGGGAGAAGGTTGGGGCTGCATAGAGATGATAGGGAAAACATGATAGAGTTAACTGCTCACTACAAAGACACTGAGGAAGGGACCAGTGCCCCTTGCATCTCTGGTAAGTCCCACTAACTCCGGAAAGCACCAGTGTGGGAACCAGACCTTTGACACATAGGTCTATGGTATAAATTTATCTAAACCATAACAGATTTGTGTGTGTGTCTGTTTCTAAATAAGAACCCAACTATGAACACCTTGATTTTAGACTTTGGACCCTGAGCAAAAAAATCTACCAACCCTTCACAGACTTTTTTTAAAATTTGAGACAAGATGTGACTAAGTGCCTAGGCTGGGCATATGGTCGCATTCCTCCTGCCTCAGCCTCCCAGAGTGTCTGTCACCTGTATTTCTGACCTACAGAATTGTGAAATAGTAAGTTATCATTATAAGGTGTTAAACCACATACTGTTATATGACAATAATGTATGTAATATGCATTAGCAAAACCAGTAATGCTAACACTGGGGAGGCTGAGGCAGAAGGATTCCC